GTTTTTCTTGGCCAACTCTTAATTTTATTCATAGTAAAACCCTCTTTAGCTGTCCCTTGTAAATTCTGTATTATAAGAACATGAGAAATTCAAATGAGTGAGAGAAGGTGCTGATATTCATAGGCATATTTGAACAATTCATAGAATCCATGAATAAAATGAGGGTGACAACATTTGAAAGGAAGATTTCTCCATTCCCTCCTCATATCAGCAAAAGGATCCAATGTTTTATTTTTGAAGCCTAGAACTTCTTTATTTTAAAAAAAAGTTGGTCTAAAATTGTAAAAAGCAGGCATGGACATAGGTCTGCCATGAGATTGGACATAGGTCTACCATGGATTGTCCATGAGAGCAAAACTTGACTGTGGACAAAGTAACGGTGGTTGCCCCTGTGTGACAGTAAGTTGTCTTTTGTCTTTCTCCAAAAGGACAGAAGCTGCTAGGAAATTTAGGTTCTAAAATAGGCAGTTTAGTCTTTGAGGATTTCTCAAAGTACAGAAAGTCATCACGTAAACACTACATGTCGAATCATCTCAGAGTTGTGGCTGTTGTCTCTTCAGGAATTGGTCCACAGGGTAAAATTTCAATGATTCATATGTTTTCAATGGTCATTTCTGAGGATCTCGCATGAAAGAAAGGAAAAGGGAAAGAAGAGCTATACCTCGCGGGTGTGAGTTTGGGACCTGCTGGCCAACAGGGGTGTCACTCCCTGGAAATACAAGTTCAGCATGTTTGCACTTGTTACTGTGTAGCTTTAATGACTTTTTTTTCTAATAGGGCTAATGTCTCTAAGCTTTGTGCTTAGAGCTGTTTCAGATTTTAAACTAGTTCCATTTCACTGTTCTAGTTATTCAAACCATTTTTTTTTACAGCCTCCTGGGTGGGTCATCTTAACTCTTGAATTATAATATTTTGAGATGTTTTCATTCCAGATTGTACCAAAAAGTGCACAGAGTGAAGGCAATTTACAGCAGAACAGAACAAAACACACAGCTTATTTCATTTGACTTTATATATGCAGATAAGCAGAAACCTGTTTAACTCATTACTTTACTTGATGTGTCATATTTTTTGATTGAAAATTAATAGAAGTGGTTCCTCTAAGAGGGTCTTTTAGAGGTGGGAGAATGGAGATAGCAGTATCACCCCAGACTCATACTGGCATCACCATAAATTCTGTATGCCAGGGTGGCGTGAAGTCAGCTTTTTATAGTTGAAATACAATTTTTTATTCACCATTGTCTGCACAAATTCTTGAAAATAAAATTTCTTTCCCTACTGTCTTTGTCCATTTTATTTGTCACATGCTGAATTTAATGAACTTTGTTCCATATTCCCTTGGGTTCTGCCCATAGTATACCTTTTTAGTTTAAATAAATTAATACCATCGTTTGTGTTGACGCCTGTGAATGTATCATATAGTTCAGGATCTATGAGAGCTTTCTCCTTTGGGGGGTGCTGATCTATATACCAGCTTATACTGTATATATCAGCATATATATGAATATATATATATATATATATATATATATATATATATGGAAATTTTGAGGTGTATCAAGTAAGGTAGATTACTCCCCAATACATTTTACATACTACCGCTATTAAAATATAAGTACCATCTGCCCTTACCAGCCATAAACATCCAAATGATATTAGGTTAACCAACCACACACATAGAAAACCCTTGAGCCAATGGGATTCCGACACATACATTGGATGCTTTCCCCTATGTGTTTATCCCAACTGCATGGCAAGGCTGGCAAAAGTATAAACTATAACTTCACAAATCATTTTCTACCAGTGTCCAAAAATCTGATTTGCAGCCTCCCCCTCAACACCCCCCCGCCCCCCCCCCCCACACACACACACATACCTATTTCATTGAAAAAGGAGAAGAGTGGCTCTATGGTCGAGCGTTGACCTATGAACCAGGAGGTCATGGGTTCGATTCCCAGTCAAGGGCACATGCCTAGGTGCTCTGATTGTAAAAGGAACTAATTCTACTCTTATAATCGCGTCTGTTTTTCAGTTTACTCATTCTGGAGTTTGAAGGTCTGATGGGTTTTAATGGATATGCATGTAAACAAAGGTTCAGCAATATGACTGCCACAGCATCAAGTTCTGGGGAGCAAGAGGGCTCTGAGGACAGGGCCATGCCTTCCTACCTTCACTCATTTCACAGATCCTGACACCTAATCTAGTCTCACTTACCCTTTGGTAGATGATGTGAAGGGAGAAGGCACTCCTGGGGAAGCTGATGTTGGTAAAGACCAGGATTTGCCTTCTCCATGGAAAAGGAGTCATTCACCTATTACTGAGATTGAATCGTCTTGTGTCCAGAACTTGGGATCAAAAGTCAAAGAAAAACGACAGATATGAATATAAATATGTAGCTGCACAAAAATCAAAAGAACACAATGACTCAGTATTGTAAGCATTTGTCCCGCCTGTCCCTGCGACATGGCTTCCCCTCCGAGCCGCGAGAGGGCAGCAAAGCGCGCTCTCGGCGAGGGCCTGTGCTCGGTGGTTCCTCCCAGAATCCTCCGAGGCGGGGGGAGGGGCAGAGGCATTTAAAAGCGGGTGCGGACTTCCGCCCCCTCACGGGAGGGAGCGCGGCCTGGGGTGCGGGTGCTGTGAGTGGTACTGCGGTGTCGCGTGGATGGCGCGTGCGGGCCGAGTGTGTGTGTGGGTGGATGTGAGCGTGCGTGGGGCGTGCAAGGCGAGTGCGTGACGCCCCCTACGGCCCTCCCCCCGTCTACACCTTGATCTTATTTGATCGGGTTGTGACCCCAGCCCGCCGGGCCGGCCCGAGATGAAAAGCTCCCCTCCTGCGAAGCCCGCTCCGGGCGCTGTGCAGCGAGGCCCTTGGGTGGCGGCGGCGCCGCGGTCCCGGAGCCGATCTGCGGGGCCCGGCGCTCAGAAGTGATGAATTGATCAGATAGACGAGGCCGGGCTTGTCCCGGCCGCTGATTATCGAGGCGATTCTGATCTGAGCCCGGCCCCGGGGCGGCCGCCCGTGGTGTGTGGCTGACGCGGTGGTGGTGGCGACGGGCCCGGGCACTGACGGGAGGGCGAGGATGTCTGAGCTGCCTCCCCTCGTCATGATGACTGCACCCCACCGAGCCTGTTGCTAAGGGGTGCAGGTTTATATGTGCATACTTACATGCACATATAGCTCCCCAAGAACTTGGAGAACTTACAGCTACAGATTCCAGGGACCCGCCCCAGATTTACTTAACCAGAATATATCCTCACCTGAGGATATTGTTTTAATGATTTGGAGAAAGGGAGAAACATGGATGAGTTGCCTCCTGTATGTGCCCCAACCCAGGGTGGAACTCGCAACCTAAGTATGTGCCCTGACTTGGAATGGAACCTGCGACCTTTTGGCTAGGGGACTATGTTCTCATCAGCTGAGCCACCCGGCCAGGGCTAGAAATCTCTATTTTTAATTTTTTAAATCCTCACTGGAGGATATTTTCCCCGATTTTTAGAGATGGAAGGGAGGGAGAGAGAAAAATATCAGTGTGTACACATTGGTTGTCTCCTGCACACACTATGCCTGCAACTGAGGTATGTGCTCTTGATCACAGTTGAACCCAGGACCCTCAGTCCAAGGGCCGACACTATCCACTGAGCCAAACTGGGGAGGGCTAAAAGCCTCTATGCATGGATCACAGTAATCAATTTTTCAATGATCAGTATCAACCTGCATGAGGTGACTAACCAGTCACCCCTTTCGGCCACTTTCAGCCATTCTAAATAACTGGCCACTTGGCACCACACGATCTCAATAGTTGAAGAGGCGCCCAGCCTGTGTGGCACAGTGGTTGAGCGTGGACCCAAGAACCAGGAGGTCAGCTTGGATTCTTGGTCAGAGCACATGCCCCAGTTGCTCAATCCCAGTAGGGGGCGTGCAGGAGTTAGCCCATGGATGATTCATCATTGGTGTTTTATCCCTCCCTTTCTCTGAAAGCAGTAAAACTATTTTTAAAAATAGTGGAAGAGGGGCTGTGATAGGTGGTATTTTAAGGACCAGGCACTTGAGTATCAGCCTTTTCCTATCTGTTATTCAACAATGCCAAACTTCTGTACCATAGGCTGGGTCTGCCATTTCTTGCCCAATCTAATAGCAGGTTCCTGTGACTTGTAACTTTAGAGACCATGTAAGTGCATCGTTTTTAGGTAGCTTCAAACCCAAGCACCAGATTTTTGAGCCATGTTTATAAGAATTAGGGGCATGCCCTGACTGGTTTGGCTCAGTGGATAGAGCGTCGGCCTGCGGACTCAAGGGTCCCGGGTTCAATTCCAGTCAAGGGTATGTACCTTGGTTGCAGGCACATTCCCAGTGGGGGGTGTGCAGGAGGCAGCTGATCGATGTTTCTAACTCTATCCCTCTCCCTTCCTCTCTGTAAAAAATCAATAAAATATATTAAAAAAAAAAAAAGAATTAGGGGCAGATATCAGCACAAACATACAAAGGCAAGGGAACTGATTCCCAGCAAGATTATGGCAGCAGTTAGAGAAAACAATGGCAAGGAGGCAGGACCAGGGAGATGGAGGTCCCCTGCCCCTCATGGAAAAGTAGAGCCCAGCAGATGACTAAATCCAGGAGGTCGGAAACCTCTTAAGTGTGACATCAGCATAAGAATGCTACATAGAGCTACTAAGATGACTGGTTGTAAACTCATTAAGACAATGGGCTCTATCCATTCTTGTTTCCAAACACAGCTCTGACACAAAGGTTTGCAAGAAATATTGAATGGGTGTATCTGTATGGTTGGAATGACTGATTTACAAGAAAGGAATACCCGCCTCCTGCCCCAAACTGGGCTGTTCTAAGTCCTTGCAAATATTCTCAACAAGACTAGTTTCTAGAAGTTGGGAAACTTCCACCTTTTAAGAGTAGTCTAGTGGCAACTCTATGGGTGACAGACACTTCAGGCTTCACCATGCACGAATGTTTTTAATAGAGGTGGGCAGCAGGCTGTCCCATCGACCAATCAATCCAGGGGCCTGTCAGCGTCAGGTGGAGAAGAAGCCACCGTCCGTCTTTCGGGAGTAGCCTCTGTTGGTGGCTGCAGTGTGAGGGGACACTGGAGAAAAGAGGGAGTGGGCTGTGAATTTCAGATCCTTTGTCTTCACTGGGAACCTGTAACCACCCATCCATTTATGGGTGCCAGAGAGAAGGTTCTTAGAACAGCTGGGGAACTGGCATATAGAAGACAGATAGGAGGTAGCTATAGGTCTTCCACTCCCAGGTTTCTGCTGGAAATTTCTGTCCCCTAGACCTAAGGGTGAGTTAGAGGCTCGGAAAAATGGACTTCATTCCATAGTCAGCATGCATGTCCCCTGATCTGTCTGATATGTGACAACTTAATCACTGCTGTTGCAAGACCCTCAGTTATCCCCCATGTTCCCTCATAGCCAATCACCTCAACTCCCTGATTCCTGGGTCCATTTAGAACTTGTACCACCATCTGCCCTATTACTCACCTATGGACCCGTGGATGCTGTGGATGGACTCCCTCTTAGGGCTGATCCATTGTCTGATGTTAGCTCGGGAGGTGGTGGGCAGTGGTGGGGCAGGGGGTAAGTGTTCTCCAGGGGCCTGGATGTTGATGATCCTAGAGGATGGGTACGGAGAAGAATAGGGGAGAATGAAGCCAAGCAGGAGAAAGGGAAGGAGGGAAAGAATTACATGCCACCTCCAAAATAAAGCAGCCAAAGGCCCTTTTTACACTCAGTGGAATTAACTGAAGATTTTGTTTGTTTATACAGATAAAAACAGGAAGTTCTCTGTTCATTTCAGATAATAAAAATACAGAAAAAACAAATGTTGGTGAGGATGTGGAGAAAAGGGAACCCTTGTATACTCTGGGTAGAAATGTAGGCTGATACAGCCACTGTGGAAAGCAGTATGGGAGTTACCTCAAAAAGTTAAAAATAGAACTGTCTTAGGACCTAGCAGTTCCACTTCTGGGAATTTGTCCGAAGAAACCCAAAACACTAATTCGAAAGAATGCACCCCTATGTTCACTGCAGCATTATTTACAATAGCCAAGATTCGGAAGCAGCCCCTGTCCATCAGTAGATGAATGGATAAAACAGCCATGGTACATTCACACAATGGAATACTACTCGGCCATAAAAAGGAAGAACATTTTATCTTTTTTGGACTGCATGGATGGAGCTGGAGGACATTATGCTAAGTGAAATAAGACAGTCAGAAAAAGGTAAGTACCATAGGATTTCACACCTATGTGGAACCTAATAAACTGCACTAACAAGCAAAATAGAGACAGACTCAGAGAGCAGGCAGATAGCTCTGGTGGGAGTGGTGGTGGTGGTGGTTTGAGAAAAGAAAGGGGATTGAGAAAAAAGAAAACTTCTGGACATGAACAACAGTGTGGTGACTGTGGGAGTAGGGGGAAGGAAGAAGAGAGTATATGGGGGATAAATTGTGATAGAAAAAGAATAAAATAAAGGGAAAGATACAGAAATTACAGGTACAGATATAAACAATACAGAAATCTGTATACCATTGAGCACCTATTGATAGTTATTTCCCAGGTGGCCTTTACCTTATTTAATTGATGGTATTACCCTTAGAATGGGGAGGCTCTGCCTCCACCACTTACCCACGGGTGTCCTTGGAGGTCTCCTGGTGGATCAGGGCCTCACTTTTGTTCTTGAACGACCCCGTGTGGTGGTTGTACAAGGCAGCTAAGCGGAAATCCAGATTATCCTTTGGAATCTACAGAGGAAGTTAACCCCCCCAGGGTTAATGCACCAACTCTACCCCCAGCTCTAGTCAAGTTCTTTTGGGCTCTACTCTTCCCCAAAAGGAGAGAGAACGGCTTTTGGGCCTGGATCCACCAATTCCTTACACACCAACTAGGACATGGTGACTCTTGCCTCTCATGGTTAGGTCTAAGGAGTAGTGAGCTCTCCCTGTAGATATGGGAATCACTATACTGTCCCCGCTTTGGGCTCAATGGGCCTTCGTTCATGGTTATATTCAATCTTTGTTTTAATCAGAAGAGTGAGAAGTCCGGTGAGAAAATGATTTGCTTCAGATGTCTGACTAGAGCAGAACCCAAGCCTCTAACTTCCCAGAGACCAGATAAATTGGTATTTAGTTTGGTAGGATCTTGGATTGAGGACAAAAGGAAAGATACTAAAGAAGTTAGGGACAGACTTCCTTCCAAAGAGGATACTGATGAATTCTAATTGGACGTAAAGAGAAATAGTATTTCAATAGCAGGTACCTCAGATTCAAAAAAATAAGAATTCCGCCTAATGGAGGTGATCGTGGGAATCGAGTTGAGCCGATTCCAGGGTTCCCGTTGCTGGTCCAGGTGCGTTGGGTTCTTATATTGCAGCATCTGCAAAAGAAAAACCGCCCGGGACCTGGTTACCTGGATCCAGGTCCTTGCTGCTGTGGTAGCTTCAGTGACATCCACCCCTTCATCCTATTTTAACTGACTCTCAGAGCAACATCTGTAAAGAGAAGAACAATATCGGGCAAAACGCCCCAGGCTTTTGATCCTCCTAAGTCTTCAATCTTAGAACTGACAGAAAAGGGCCAGGAATAGAGGGAAAGGGGTGGAGAGGACAGGGGCAAAGGGTGGGGAACATATAGGAAAGATGGTGAGCGTAGGTTTAGACATCCTGAGTTTGAGGAAAAGGTTAGACATCCTAATGCAATTAACAAGTAGAAAACTGGAAGTGTGCGACTTTTTGGAGAGTAATTGAGGACTAGTCATTGAGATCTGGGGGTTATCTCCATGCAGCTGTGGTTGAAGCCTGCAAAAGCGAGTGTGGCCAAAAGAGTCACATTTACTATCTTCACTTCCTCCCCCTCCTCATCCCCTTTTCAGTCTGGCCTCTGCCTCAAGCACCCCCAGAAACCGCTCTTGCTGGTGACCAATGATTTCTGAGGCTTGGTCGGGTGGATCCTCTCCAGACCGGGTCTTATCTGACCTCTGCAGTTTCTGGCACCATGATGCTGACTCTCTCAAATGTTCTCTCAACCCTCTGTGGGTCCGGCTCCTCCGAATTTCCTCCTGCCTTTAACTGTTGCTTCTCAGCTCTGCTCGGCATTCCGGGGGAGTTTCGTTTCTGCGTTCCTTACTCTCACATTTGCTGGATGAGCTCATTCCTTCCCGTGGCTTCAACCACCATATGGACACTGTGGTTTCCAGATGTACATCTTCAGCCCAGAACTCTCAACCAACTGCCTGCTATTCATTCCCACTTAAATGTCCCACAGGCACCACAAAAGTGACATCTACATCATTGATCTGAATCTCTCTCCCCGACCCTGCTTACCCTGAGGCCTCATTCAGTAAATGGTATCAATTAAGCCCTCAGGAACGAGGAGTCACCCTAGACTCATCCGCTCTCTTGGGCTCATATCCAGTCAGCCACAAAGTCCCATCAGTCCTGCCTTTTGCATCTCTCTTATCTGCAACTTATCGCTACCCCCTGCATCACTGCTTTAGGTCCGTTATTCTTCCTCCTGGAGATTGCTGCCTCCGGAGGCTCCTGCCTCCTAGCTGAGCCCTCTTGTCTCACTCCCACCCCATCCAATCCACTGCCACTTGTGCTTTCTGAAACACCCATCTGTTGTGTCGCTCTAGGGCAGTGGTTCTCAACCTTCCTAATGCCGCAACCCTTTAATACAGTTCATGTTGTGGTGACCCCCAACCATAAAATTATTTTTTGTTACTACTTCATCACTGTAATTTTGCTACTGTTATGAATCGTAATGTAAATATCTGATATGCAGGATGTATTTTCATTGTTACAAATTGAACATAATTAAAGCATAATGATTAATCACAAAAACAATATGTAATTATATATGTGTTTTCCGATGGTCTTAGGCGACCCCTGTGAAAGGGTCGTTCGACCCCCAAAGGGGTCGCGACCCACATGTTGAGAACCGCTGCTCTAGTGCTTCAAATCCTGATGTGATTCCCAGCCCCTCCAGGATGAAATCCTAGCTCAGTGGCATGGTGGACACAGCACATCCAGCCCAGAAAGATCATTCTCCAGCTTCTGCTCTCTCCACTCCTCCTCCGACTTGTCCAGGACCTCAGTGTCCTCACCAGAGTCCTTTAAGTGCCCCCCATAACAGAAAGAAGAGTGCCATGGCCCACCAGGACTGCGCAAGAAGCCACAGTACCTTGGAAGCCCTCGGTTTCCCCAGGCGGGAATCATCATTATTCAGCATTGGCTGCTGGAAAGGGTCTCGGGTGGGAGGCATGGCCAAATGAGAAGCTCTTGGGAGGAACGGGAGGCCGGCGCAGCCACACACAACCCTGCACGCAGAGGATCGCGGGTCCCAATTGTTTGGAAGGCTCACTTCGGTTGCCAGGCAACTGCCCCACCGTCTATGACAGGTGAATTCCTATCAAGAAGAGCGCCACCTGGCGGTCAAACGTCGGAGGCCCCTCGGGAGGAAGCTACTGGGAACACAGAGGGAAAGAGCCGCTGACCATACCATACCCCCAGGAGCTCTGGATTTGCCCTCCTGAACCTTAGGTGGAAAAACAGAGGCCTCCCGGCATGCAGGACTAATGCAAAAGGCTTCAGCTAGCAAACGGAATCCTAAAAGATGACCCAGAAATGCCCTTCTCCCTCGCATCTAACAAAAGGATTTTTCAAAGCAGTAAGAGAATGGGGATGTCCAGAGACGGAAAACTGCCGCCTAAGCAAACACTCCTTGCTTAAACCCGGTTTAACTATATGAATCTCAAGGCTTCGCATCAAGCCGGCCGTAAAGGCCCAGACGGATGTGGAGGGATGGACGTGGAGCGGCCGTCTTTGCAGTAGGTAACACCTCCTAAGCCACTCTTGCAGGCTGTAACTTCTAGAAGAGAGACGACGTCTCCATCTTTCTAGCGCTTTACACTCAGGACGTGCTCAGTATCTGTCCACCGCCACGTCTGCAGAATCAGAGATGCTCATAGCGCACGG